CCAAAGGGGATCAACGGATACACATACTGTATGCAAAAGAAATTAAACAGCAAGGACCTTGTGTATAGCACAGGGAACTACATTCAATTTTTCGTATAATGGAAAAGAATCTGGAAAGAAAAAATATATATGTATGTATATGTATGTATGTGTATATGTATGTGTGTATATCTCAATTGCTTTGCTGTACACCAGAAACTAACATTGTAAATCAACTACACTTGAATTAAAAAAATTTTTTTTTAAGTGAGCATGATTTTTCAATTTCATCATTTCCAAAATCCATCCAGGGATAAAGCTAAATGAACACTTTTACTTCACAGGGTACTGGGAATGGAGGTTAATTTCAGTCCCAAAACCCAGCACAGGAAAGTGGAAAATGAAGGAACAGCTGCCCCTCACTGGACACTGGGCAGCCTCTAGCCAGTCACTGGCTGTCCCGCCTCAGACGGGCAGTCTGTGTAATTCTTGATGACCCTAGCCCTACCCAAGACAGGAGGGAAGGTTGGTGGGGTCCGACTGCATCTCTGCTAGGCTATCAGAAAAGGTCAAGAATACCAAACAACAGTGACAGGAGCTTTACTACAAAATGAGAAAAGCTGCAGAAGCAGACTTAGAAATACCAAAGAAAAAGCATAATTTGGAGTCACATTTATTAATATTAATGAAACCTCAACATTATAAATGAGTTAATTCATTCACATATTACTTCAGTAAGAATTCTTGATTGGTCATATGAAAATAGTTCATTTCCCTTTGTCACCAAAAAAATCTAAGAAAATATGTTAAAATTTACATTTAGGAAAATACGTTCATGCTCCCTTCCTCCTGCTTAGACTCTCAAAATTCCATTCTCTTTCACATCCTATTCTCCATCAGACTTGGAATTCCAAGTGATGTACCTGTCAGTTACACACAAGTACTTTTACATGACTTAAGAGAGACAGCATTAAACACAGAAACAAAGTCTACAGAATGATTTCCACTTTCAAATCCAACTTGATTCCATACCAGTGGGTTCAAAAATCACAGGAGCAAAAAGTGAACAGGACTCAATATCTATGCAAAAAAACCAACTAATAAGAATTCGTGTGTTAACATGTAAAGGCACATCAGGAAACCGGCTTCTCCTAAAACACAGAATGATCATGATCAAATATAAACATTCAGAAAAAATGTTTCAGCTTTTTAGCTGATTCTTTCAACTTTCCTTACTCATCAGTATTAATGTCGGGGACTGGAGATGTGCAGTAGCTACAATAACATTCAAAACAATTGTATTGACATTTTATTTATTTAAAAGTCTTCATTACCTAAAATCTATATATCTTCTTATTCCCAAATCACTTTGAATACTTTCCTTGCATTAACACAGAGTATCTGTAACTCCAAAAAAGTCAAAAATAGAGATTCATTTCCAGGTAGGAGATGGGCAAAGGCTGGGTAATAACGATTTGCGCAGGTGGTGGTGCTGGCGCGGT